GAAGAAGAAGAAGAAGAAGAAGAAGAAGAAGAAGAAGAAGAAGAAGAAGAAGAAGAAGAAGAAGAAGAAGAAGAAGAAGAAGAAGAAGAAAGTGGTTTTTATTTGAAATAACTTGAAGCAAGCAAAGAAGCCAAGAACTATAATATAAGAATGTAATTAGTGTGTAGGAAAGATTTTGCATATATAAGTTTAGATTCTATCACATTCTACAAGTTGAATATAGGCTTTAGGTGTTGGCATCCTATTCAACATAATATATAGTTGACTGTATTAAAAAATATAATAATAATAATAATAATAATGTATGGTAAGCTTAATTTGTCAAAGTTGGTAAGTCAAGTCATTTTTCACTCGTCAGTCACAATTTCGGATGGTAATGTGCACTTTTAACGATTTGGAGTTGGTTAAGCGAGATAATTATGGCACGCGTCAGTCACAATTTTGGATAGAAATGTGTTCTTTTCACGAGTCAGAGTTGGTTAGACGAGATCATTCTGGCAAGCGTCAATCACAATTTTGTATAGAAATGTGCACTTTTAAGTTTTAACAATTCAAAGTTGGTTAGATGAGACAATTCTGACACGTGTCAATTACAATTTTGGAAAGAAATATGCACTTTTAACGAGTCGGCGTTGGTTAGACGAGATTATTCTGCCACATGAATGTATCAGTCGCAATTTCAGAAAGAAATGTACTCTTTTACTATTGAGTGTTTTACTTTTTAAAATGGATTAAATAGTTTTTGACTACATTGTTATCTCAAAAAGTAGCATGTTATTGTAAGCAAATAGTGTTCTCGTTGAAAATATGTAAAATGAAGAAAGAATTGGACGGTGAGTAATCTAAGAGTACGGACAAATGGCTATGATTTGAGAAGTTCAATACTTCATACAGAAAACAAGTTGAGCCAAGCCTGACTCATTAACAAAACAAGCTTTGAGCGAGCTCGAATTCGTCTTGTTTATCAAACGAGCCGTTTTAACAACTTGTAAATGTCCTTCATCCAACTTTTAACATTAAGAGTTGCTAGCACTTATTTATGTCTGATGGAAGCTCGTTCAAAACTTTTCATGGGCCAAAAAAAGAGGGGTGTTTTAGGTAAATGACCAAAAACCTATATTCTATTTTCAGATTCTGGTGGAAACAGTTTTACGAAGTCAACAGTTGATTTCATAGCAAAACTGCTGATAGAAAAATGCATACTTTCAGACAACCAATTGTGAGAGAACCTTCAATAAAAATTAAAAACTGAATCATATTAAAACTAAAAATTTATTGATGAGCACAATTAAAACGAGCAACTTACATAAACATACTTAGTTCCACAATAAAACATAAATCCAATGAGCCAACATTTTATTCTTAGATAACTTCAAAACCTTGTCATCATATCATATGATACTTATATATATGTAATCTTTAGAGCTTAGCCAAACGGCTGATATCATAAGGATACGCGTCGGAGGGCTCACGAGCGCTGTAAGCCCTTTCCCCGAGCAAAACATTAGCGGCCTCCGTTGGATGAAACGCGTCCCAAAACAAGTGCTCGTCTCTATTCACACACGGCGGCTGCAGGGGCAAACACGTAATTTGACCATTGTTCCGACCCAATCCACAACACCCTGCATTGGTCACTTTGAAACCTATACACCCAAACACCATAAAATGAAAAAAATGTTAAATCATAACAAATATAAAGATAAATAAAATAAAACAAAAAAAACGACATTCGAAATGTAATGTACCAAAAGTTGAGGGTTTTTCCGTGAATTCCTGGAAAATTCCGAAAGCGTTAATGTAGATGAATTTCGCATCGGTTGTGTTCTTGTTTGAATCGTCGACTAATGCCTTGAGTTTGTTGTTAAATAATTGATTCGCGTCGTTTATGTTTTTTGCGCAAGTCGTTCCGTCCGGGCTGATTCGTGCAAGAACATTCGGGCTGCACCCAATTGGGCCCAAACCAACCAAGACAAACTTCCTAGCTCCATAATTGTACAATGTCTGTGTAATAAAATCAAAACTCATTCATTTAATGTTCTTTTTTTAATGTCATTAAATGGTGTTAGAATTTACTTTTCTGTTCTGTTTTTTGGTAAGAACAGGGGAAAATTATTAAAATAAGAATAAAAAGAAAAAAAGAAAAGAAAAACCACCCTCAGCTGCTCGGTATATTGTTGAATGAGATCGTCGGCATATTCCTCCGGTGTGTATCGGCTGCCGGTCGAGTAGAAAGCCGGCATGAAGTAGTTGTTTAGGTAGTCGTTGCTTCCGATTATGATCGAGTATATGCATTTTCCGAGATGGTTCGCGGCCGAGCCTTTGTCCCCGAGCATGCTCGATATTTTTTCGACCGTGCTCATGTGGTTATTCACTTGTCCCGTGAAGTCGATTCTTCCACCCTAGTCGAACGTTTTTTTTTTTTTCAATCGAAAAATAGTTGTAAGATGTATGAAAAAAAAAAAAGTCATCATTAATTATTTGTTAGCTTATATTCTTTTTAGGAACAATTGTGTTGTGCATTGTGTACCAACTGCCGGCCGGTTTCCGGTCTTATTCCGGCAGCGGCCGATGCGTAGTTCAAGCCTTGCAGTATTTGTTGTCCGGTGGTTGTGGCGTGCGGTGGAATGTTGCCTTCGAACCCTAGTCGCTCAGCTGGAAAAAATGGCGAGAACATATGAGTCAAATCTTAATAAACATTTTAAGATTGCGATAATTCGTGCCTAAGAATTTTATACCGTTAGATCTACACACACTCATGTTGGTGTGTGTGCGCGAGTGTGTGCAGTCCAACGATAAAATAGTCAATCGTGCATGTGGGTTATTTTCATCTTTCACATAACTAAAGTTGGTTATACTTTCCCCTAGAAAATATGGAGAAGTGTTTACGAACGAAAAAAGTTAAAAATGCCGAGCGAAAAAACGAGCTCAATTTCTTGATCGACGAGAAAGAGAGAAAAAGGGCCTACCGATTACGTCGACGGTGGTTTTGCCGTTGGAGAATCTCCCGGTCGGGCCATCGGAATAATCGATCCCGTAAGGCATGTAGTTAGCCTTGGCCAAGGATTGCATGCCATTGTTGTTGCCATTGTCCACTAAAGAGTCCCCAAATATGTAGTAGCATGGGACTTGAGGCTCTGCCATAGCCAGGCAAATAACAAAACACCCCACAATCAATCTATTGAGCCCAATTCCCATTATTTTTCTCTCTCTCTTTTTTTTAGGTCCAAAATAGAATTTAAGAAGAAAGGACCTTGTGAAGTTTAATAGTGTTCTTGTATTATGGGGATAAAAAAAAATATGTGTAGATGGAACTTATAAAGTAAGATGAATCTTTAGTAGTGAGGCTTTGGGGTTGGTGATTTGTGTTTAAGGGCATGAAAAGATAGGTCATTTTATAAAGCTAAGTTTTGAACAAGACAAGACAAGGGTATAGTAAAATGGGAGTCGATACTGTTTGTTGATCCAACGATTAAAAATCCAATAATTGTACTGCGGTTATTGGTATAGTGAAATTCAGATGCATTAAAAAAATAGATATGAGTGTCAAATTTGTTTGAATAAAAAATTATCGTTATCTGGTATATTATACGGGGTATGATTTTGAATAAAATTAAGAAGTGTGAATTTGAAGGAAGTGTTTGAATTCATATTTCACGTATAAAGATAATTTTTAACAAATAATAATTGTATCTGCTTCTATGAATAAAATTTGAATTTATCAATTTTGGTTGGAAAATAATAATTTATATATTTATTTTTAATTTTTTTTTTTATCGATATAATTTTGCAAATAAAACTTTTTTTTTTTTTTTACACTAGGTGTACCTTCAAACACTATTTACATCATGTTTCATAAATTGATGATTATTTGTCACGCATATTATGAAAAACACTAGTTATCATCCTGTGCACATGCACAGATGTACATAAAATATTATAAGTAATATGTGTGAATTTAATATTAAAATTATAGATGGTAAACATATCACATTTCCAAGATATGTGAATTTAATATTAAAATTCTAGAAAATAAACATATCACATTTTCAAGATATGTGAATTTAATATTAAAATTTTAGATAATGGACATACCACATTTTCAAGATTTAATCATTAGTAAAAATAAAATAATATTTATATAAACTATTTGAGTACATATGAATCACTATATTGATTAAAAAAAATTGTGGGTAATGTAATTTTTATAATTTGGAGGGATCTTGGTCAAATAATTTACTTGAAAACTTTATTATTATTATTATTATTATTATAATAATTATTATTATTATTACTATTATTATTACAACGACAATTGTTTATAAGATTTTAAAGGTTTTTTACTATACTGTTAAAACTATTTACTAATTATTTCTAAAGAAAATTGTTTCATGAAATATAAAATTAAAATAATAATAATAATAATATCATTCATAAAACCTCATTAAGTGTAATCATGTATTTATAAAACATAATTAATAAAACCTCATTTATTTTCCCTCAAAAAGAAGTTACAAAATTTGTCATTCATATTTTGCCTTCACATTAATCACCCTACTAAGCGTAATCATGTAATTTTTTGCTATTATATTATATAATAGTTAATGCTATTACCAACTCATAACATTTCACACTAAATATAAATTACATAAGTATAAACAATTTTATTGTTTCAAAATATTATTATTATTATTGTTATTACTATTATTATCATCATCATCATTATTATTATTATTATTATTATTATTATTATTATTATTATTATTATTATTATTATAGTAGTTAATGCTATTTTTTGCTATTATATTATATAATAGTTAATGCTATTAATTTTTTTACATGATTACACTTAATAGGGGTATTAATATGAAAGGCAAAATATAAATGACAAATTTTGTAACTTCTTTTGGAGGGAAAATAAATGAAGTTTTATTAATTAGATTTTATTTATGAGGTTTTATTTAATGATTAGCTAGCAATTATATATATATATATATATATATATATTATTAAAAAAAAATTGTTTATAAGATATTAAAGTTGTTTAACTATGCTATTAAAACAATATACTAATTGTTTTTAAAGAAATATTTTTATGAGCTACAAAAGAAAAATATAATATTGATGTTAAAATACATAATTTGAAACAATTGTTTATAATTATGTAATTTATATTTATTGTGAATTATCATTAGTTAGTATTAGCAATAATTATTATATAATATAATAGAAACATACATGATTACACTTAATATGATGTATTAATGTGGGAACTAAAAATTATTAATGTTAAATTTTGTAACCGAAAATGGAGGAAAAAAAATTAGAGGTTTTATTAAATAGGTTTTATTAAATGCTATTGGCTAGTAATTATATATATATAGATACGCATCACTGTCTCAGTTTTCTAACATTTATGTATAACATTCATCTGTGAGTCATGTGACATTGCGCACGAATGAGAAAGAATATAAGTCATACTATGTTACATTTAATTCAATTTACAATTTAATATATCATGGAAATGATTGTCTCTCGTGTAGATTATTATTATTATTATTATTGATTTTTTTTTTTATTTATGATGTCTTTGTGGACAAGTTAAGATTTAAGTTTAGAGGTCTTATATAAAGCACTCTCTTTAGTTTGTTTTCCTTGGTTATTTATGAATGAAAATATGAATTTATATCGTAAGGTGTTCTTGAGATTGAGATATCATTAATATCGTCTCACTCGTAAGTTTTCCTACGTCAATATCGAAGTAGTTAGCTAACCCAATTAAAAGTTTTTTTTTTTTTTTTTTTGTAAGTCATTTGGGAAGAAATTAACGGAGTAAATGCTAATTTATGAAGAAATGTGATTTCAATTATCTTATTATTTTGGTGCCAATCAGGAATGGTCTAAATTTATCTACATATAAATCAGCTTTATTGATAAATGACGGGACGACATGTCTTGACTCAACTCGACTCAATTCGTAAGTTTCGTGCTCAGCTTGTTAACATTAAAAACGAGCTAAGACCAGCTCAGCTCGATAAAGGATCGTGTTCAAATTCCACTATAAGAATCCCGAATTTGGCTTGTTCGTCAAGACTTGCACTCGGCTCGTTAATATTAATAACGAGTTGAGCTCGAGCTCCATAATGAGCCGAGATCAACTCAGCTTGATAACGGCTCGCTATCAGAAGTTCGAGTGTTCGAAATGACTCTATTCAGCTCGACTCGTTAACATTGATAAACGAGTCGAGTTTGAGCTTGTTAACGACCCGAGATCAACTCAACTCGATAGAAGTTCGAGATCGAGCTCAAGTATCAGAAACTCGAAATCGACTTTACTGGTTATATTTACACCTCTAAAGGTGAATAATTGTAATGTTTTAGCTAACCGTCCAATAAAAACATGTTGCCAACTTGAAGTCAAGCCCATCTAGGAGAAGGGGAATAGTAGTTGTATGGGCGCCAAGGGAAAGCCCTTAACATGATAATCACTCTCATTGACTTAAACATATGTCATTTAAGACTCGAGAGGCCTTAGTAGTTGTATAGGAATTATAGTTTGTTTACAACATTAATACACATCTTGGTAGTAGTTAACAATTAATTCTACCAACGAGTGAAAAAAAAAAGAAAAAAGAAAAGAAAAACACTCCATTATTGCATCATAGCAAGTTCTTGAGATCGACAGGGTTATAAATTCAAAATTTTACGGTTGCACCACTTAATTGAGGTTATCCAAATGATCGTCTTATGCAATTACTTGAGTCGAGTCCTTCGTGGGCTATTATATACATTTTTCTAGAGCCTATATAAACAATTAAAAAAATACTCGATTGTTGAGTGTATTGAGTTCTTGAGATCGATAGGGCTATAAGTTTGAAATTTACAACTACACCACTTTCTTGAGAATATTGAAGTGATCGTCTCGTGTAATTTACTTGACTATAGTACATATCACTCTAGAGCTTATAAAATACCAATTCAAAATATCGCTCGATTATTGAATTATGTATAGCAAGTTCTTGAAATCGACATGCTTATAAGTTTGAAATTTTACGACTACACCACTTGATTGAGTATATCAAAGTGATCGTCTAGTGCAATTTACTTAGTCTTTCGCGGGCTATCGTTTATATCTTCTCACTTGTGAGTCATTCGTAAGCCCAAACCAACAGAGTAGGTCAGGTAAAGTAAGCCCAAGCCCAGAGCAGGTCGAGGCGGGCTATCATTTGTATCTCACTTGTGAGTCTTTCGTAAGCCCAAGCCCACAAAACAGGTTAAGTAAAGTAAGCCCAAGCCAAGAGAAGATCGAGTAGAGAAAGTCATTGCAGGTCCTAGGACATACAAAGTCATTGCAAGTCCTAGGAGGGTGTGGGGTCCCACCAGGTAAAGTGCACCATAAGAGGATAAACTTAGGCTCATCTTAGTGAGATTTCATCCCAATATTAATTGGTAACGGGAGAAGTAGTCCACTAATAATATAAACTAGTTTCATGTATTTTCAATGTGGGACAACTCACACATGATATTTCAACAGCTATATAATACCAAAAAGAAAAGTAAAAAAAAAAAAAGGGGGGCATTGAATTGCACATGCAAGATGTTTGAGTTGGCTCTGTTTTTGAATTAGATGAGGTGGTTGTTAAGCAAATCCAAGCCCGTTATAGAAAATGTATTCATCACAGAAATTAATGTTGTTGACTTCCCAAACGTAAGATTAGATTACAAAATGTCTGAGGATTATAATGCCTAAATTAATTTGGATTTCATCACAAATTTTGACCCAAAAACTATCAGTCGTGGAGAAAAAGGATTTTATATACTAGTTTTTTTTTTTTTTTTTTTTTT